CGCATAGAAAGCTCCACAAAATAGAAAGCAAGAAACACAGGTAAAAATTGCCTTCCACCCATATTTCATCGTCCCGTTTTCATCAGGGTACTAAAAATTCAATTTTTTTGTTAAGACTTTAAAAAATGAAGGCTCAATTTACCATAAATGCTGGCCCACAATAGTATAGCTGATCATCCAATGTGAGATTGAAATATTTCTCCACGTCTCCGGCAGAAAGGACATTTCTTTCCGGTGTTGGCTAAGAAATTAAAGTGATTTGATCTTTATCCAAACAATAGACAAAATGCGTCATAATTACTCATAATCATAGCCAGTCTGTAACCAGAGATTTTTCCCGTAAACGATGACTGGAGGTTGAAAGATATCTTTCTGATAAATTTGGTTCGCCTGTTTCCCAATCGGCTTTCCATGTCACTTTAAAAACCCCAAAACTAGGCACATGCCAGGCTAAGTGTGACTCCCGACTTTGAGGGCTTGTTTAAAAAAAATTGTGAGCTCCTATTGGTTAGATAATGGGCACCGCTACAGGAGACCCACTCAAAATTTACCTGTAAAATTTTTGTTTGAATCGGCTATTTTTTAACTGAGCTCTCCACCCTCCAGAGTGATTATGAGCAACTATGACACACCCGTTGTTGAAAGTAAGCGTACCGACATTCCAATGATACAGCAAAGTAGGTAAAAATTGGAGATGCAAAGGTGAAAGGCCAGGACACAAAGAATGCCCCAATAGGTGTCGAAGAGATGCTTGAATTTGCTGAAAAGTTTCATCTAGAGTCAAAACTAAAGAAGAATTTTGTTAAATCTTAACAAATTCTCCTTCAAAAGCTTTCTGCGAATCGAAAATGGCACTTTAATCAATCAAACATCTTCAGAGGTTGGCTAATATTGAAGTTCTGCATTTAAACTTAAAATTTAAACACACCCGGTGATCATTGAAAATCGATAAAGGCAATGAACGCCGAGAAGACTTAACGATTGGGCAAATGAATTGACGAAAAAGGAAATGGCCACAAAATTCACCCAATAACTCCCAGAAGGTGCCGCGTTTTTTGAGATAATAAAAAAGCCCCATTTGTCCGCCAAGTGCATCTAAACTTTCAAATTTAAGAAAAAAACATTCAAATTGTGCGATCGGTTATCATTATATTGTGAATAGCGATTATGATCAACATCTTCTTGTACTCGTTTATTGTTTGTTAAATCCTTTCAAAATATTTTTCAATTCAAAAGCGACGAAACTCACCGGCTGGACAATCTCGTGTATAATCGAGAAGTAGATATTATGAATAGCAATTATGATCAACATTTTCTTGTACTCTTTTGTTGTAGCCGTATGATCGGTGATGATCAAAGATAACAATAACAAATTCGATAAAATCCCAGCCACTGTAATGGTATTTGTTCCGATATCGTGGATTCTCAATTGTTCCATTGTTTACAGCACAAAAATATGAAGTAGCTCTGAAAATCCGTTTTTCTGAAACCCAAAGAAATAGTTAAAAGGTTAAAGAGTAGGAAAAAATGATCTATGGTTTAAAATCGGAATTAAACTGTGATGACGAGTCACCAAAAAGCCAAAAAGTCTAATAAGACACTAGAAATTCCGTACCCTAAGCAATGTCGCGTTCACAAGCTCAAAAGGACCCCTCATTTCCCAATTTTCTCTCATTTGTCTTGTAAGAAGTTGGCTTTTTTTTCACAAGCGTATAAAAGGACACCTTCTTCTCCATTTAGCCAGAATTTTCTCGCATTTGGTCTTGTGAAAGTTGGTTTTTTTGTTTGAGATACTTCCACAATTTTTATGGAATTAATTACTTTTATCTCTGGGTCAAAGCATTGTTATCTTTGAGCTTTGTGGTAACATTTTTGACACGCTTTGCTCCACGTGTATTGAATAAACTTGGTTTTGTTATTCATTCGATTATGGTTTTGTTATGGTTTTGTTATTCCTTCGAGTAAAAACGCACGGGTCTAGTCACATCTAGTAAATTCAAGGAAAAGCACACTAATAATTCGTAATACAGGGGAAATTAGTTTTGATATAAACATTGAAATATCAGTTTCGAAGTGATAAAGTATTGGTCAACAGTCTGGTGACGATGAGGAAAAGGGAAATGGACTAACTTTTATTCAGAAGTTTAATGACTTCAGGAACCTGAAGGATCTATTTGGTTATTGTCTGCCCCATCAAATTTCTCTTTCTAAGACTATAAAATTGTAATTAAATCCCTTGAGATTCGATGTCAGAAAAACATTCGTTTCAAGGAATCGAAAGAAAAAAATTTAAAAAGACCAATGTTCTAAGGAAAGTTTTATCTCAAAAATAAACAATTGCGTTTTAAATATTCTCTTGATAACTACCGTATCGGCTTGTAATCATTTTCAATAAAAATGTTAAACTTATTAAATAAAGAGTTAAAAGAGGAAATTTGTAAGAGATTTTTGCTTATAGTGATCACCGTCTCTCCTTCGAAACCATGTTTTTCTGATCTATTAGGTTGAACTAAATGAAATCGCCGTTTTCTTCATAACAACGTTATTGCTAAAATACTGCGAAAAGCAAGAATCATTCCAAAAGATGTCCGCCATGGTCTTTCTCCACTTTTCCTTCAAAACTCGAAGAACTGAGGTGTTTGACTATCAAAGTATTGGCGCTTTGAGATCCTCATTCCCTTCATGAAATCTTTTGGAAACAAGCTCGACAATTGTCTTTCGGAGATTGGTGATTGACCAAATACACTTGCAATGGCTCTATGACAATCGGGTGCCCTTTTTCCTTGCTTCAAGTCATACAGCATACAAACTCGAATTCGATACTTTACGTTGTTCATCCTAGAAAGTTAAAATTAAAAGGGCAGGAAGACAAATGAAGAACGAAGAAAACAAGAAAGAAAAAAGGTTTTACATAACATAAAAATATATCGATAAGATAGTCAGGAATCAACATTTAATGACAAAAGATTTTGCGGCGCTCTCATTTGGTTCAACCTAAGAAAATGAAACTTTGCCTAAAATAGTGACAAAGCTGTATTTACAGCTGACATTTATTGCTTTCTTACAGGAAACTTGATCGAATAACCATAGATTCAAATAGATAGAACTAAAATTGATCTTCTTCTAACAAATCTTGAGTTTTCTCTCTTTCTGGACTCTCTCGTACTCTGTTTCTCAACAATTACTTTCTTAGAAGTGAAAACACGTCTGGAGATCTACTAATTGTCCAGCAAAGGTATAGTAAATTTCGTAGAAGATTTTTGCTTACCAGTTCAACCTATCATAATACGTCTAAAATGAAAAAAGTATGCCTTCTCAACCTTTAAAATTGGTTTTTGCTTGATTTCTAAGTGTTTTTTCGAATAACAAAAAATTTTGACCATTTTTTGAACTCCCAAGAGAGTTTCTATTTTCATTTCAATCAAAGCATACTCGGAATCGTTGAGAATTCTAAGTGCACAGCCTCTGATCTCTGAAACTAGACCGAAAGACTAAACAAAACAAACAAACATTTAAAAATAAAACAAAATATCTGAGTGTAAGTGCTTAGGGAATAGGTTTTCTGTGTTTTTTTTCTAATTTTTTCAAACTGTTTACAGTGAAATCTCACTAGTAAACAATTGAAGTGATCCCAAAAAACAAGTTTCATATTTATGCTGATTATTGTGGAGGTTCAATAATGCTATAATTTGACCTATAATTTTTTTTTCCAATCCGAAAAATCAAGTTTACTATTGAGTTGAATCTAGGTTTCACTGTGGAACAAAAAATAACTTTTGAGCTTTTAAAATTTCATTCAAAGATCCGAACAGCACCGAGATCGAGATCAGCAAGATCCCAACAGCATTTTGGCCAACGATGAGCTCCTCCGTTGATTTAGCATTGAGAGGATTGACTACAACTTTCAACTCGTACACGAAATCATATATATATATATATATATATTGATTCAAGATCACCAACGTGTTCTGACTTTCAAGTAAGCCCATGCAGTATAAAAGTGAAAGAAGCAGAAAAATCTAAACAATTTGGCAAAATGTTGAGATTTGTGTTTGCTTTTACTCTGCTTTTCACTCTAACGGCAGCAAAGATTCTGTTCGGTATTAGGAAAAATGGAGTTGTGGTTGGTGACTGTTGTTAACTAGTGAAAACAGTAAGTAAAATTCAAAAATCAAATGCTCTGAACTATTGTTTCAAAATATAAGAAATAATAAGAATTCAAAAACAGCAGTTCAGGCTGAGGAGTGCGATTGGCCATTTGAACCGCCTTGCCCAGATGGATAGCACTGTTGTATCGGATTCCCGTGGTCAGCTGGACGTTGCATTCTCGATGCATATAACTGTTATTGGTTTGAATTTTTGAAAAAATAACAATCAAACTCAAGCAAATCAATTTCAATTAGAAATGTAGAAAATTGTATTGTAGAAATGTGGAAAATTGTATTGTAGAAAATATCTAACACGACTTCTCAATAAAGCACAAACGAATAGTCAAAACATTAAAACATTCAAAAAGACTTTTGTGCACCCTGAAAACAGGTCCTGATACTAGTCGTCTTCCTAAAACTTTCTTTGTCTTTTCTGATACTTTTCTGATACTAAAGTCTTCCTAAACTTAGTACATTAAAGCGCTTTGAATCTTTTGCAAAATATGGGAAAATAAAAGCCTTTCATAAAAATAAATGCTTTCCGATTTTTTTGTTTAGCTGCCCTCTCCAGTGGAAGAGGATTTATCAAGCCGTGATGGCTTGATAAATCCTCTTCCACTGGAGAGACGGAAAGGATAGATAAAGAAAAGCGTACGAGGCAGGCGTCTTTTACGATTTTCTTTTGCGTTTAGTTTTTGAATATTTCTAGCTCGATTTAAGTCAAGCTTCTAAAGTGCTGTTTTGCTTTAAAGGTTTTAATTATCTTTTTTCATTATTTCAGTTTTGATAAAGATCTTTTAAAGCATTCAAAGCAACTTTGACACCACTTTTTCCTTAAATTAGTTTTTTTAGATGGCCAGAAATGGAGTTGATATTGGAAAGGGCAGCTATGGATCGGTTCGTTTGCAAGATTGCGGGTGAGGCAATGGATTGTTTCAAAGTTTGCTTTTGCTTACAGGAAAATTGTGATCAAATACCCGTTGTCTCCCGATGAGCGAACGAAAACACTATTCAAAAGGGAATGCCAAATTCTCGAGCCCCTGGATCACCCGAACATTGTCAAGTATCTTGGAATTCAAGATAAAGATCAGAAAGGGGAAGAGAAATTCGGCATTACGATGGAGTATTGTGAACGAGGAGACTTAGAAGAAGGTTTCCTCCTTTTTCAAACTTTGTTTATTTATTGTTTTTAGTAATCTTTGATCCGAAGATGACCTATTCGATGAAATGGATTCTTAGTGGGGCAAGTCAGTTATTCGATGCCCTAGCCTATCTATCGGAGAGGAAACTAACCCATCGTGATATCAAGCCAAGCAAGTAAATCCTTCTTTTGAAAAATTTATCAAAATACAATAGAAAGTTGCTAGATTTAAAAAGTAAATGTTTGTTTCCTGTATCGGGAAAAATGTCTTGATTTTTTGTATGAAAGTTGACGGTGTTAGAAAGTGATAAGATTGCCGCTTAACAATAGAAAATTATAGTACTTTTAGATATGTTTCATTTGTAATCAGTCACAGTAAAAAAACAGTCCCTGTGGATCCCCCAAAAACAAACCAATCTTCTAGTAAACACCGATTTTCGAATCCCAAAGGTTTAAGTATCATTTTAGACCTCCAGAACGAACGGTTTACCAGGTTCCCTTTAAGAATTTACTAGCGATCTTGCATTGTATTTGTTGTATATATGGCATATTTTGGCCTATTTGTAGCATTTTTCTCAAAGAAGACTTCTCGCTGAAACTTGGCGACTTCGGCTGTGTAACGCTTGTTGCCGATTCAACAGCATCAGGAACATTTAATCGCGGAACGTTGCGTTATTTGAGCCCACCACAATATGATATCGCGAAAGAGAACCCGAACGATGATCAACGAATGGTTGGTTTTAAAAAAATTAGTTTCAAACTTTGACTTTTAGATTTCGCCCAAAAACGATATCTACAGTCTCGGTTTAACGTTATGGGAAATGGTTTTAAGAGAGTAGTTTTTCCGTTTATTACAAGCAAATTTGTTTATTTAGAAAACCATTTGCCCAGTATATTAGGAAATTTCATCAAGGAGAGGACTTTGATCGAGAGAAATTTAACGCTGATATACAAGCTAAAAGGTTGACCAGAATCAGAAGTACACAATGTTGGCCGGAGTTCGAGGAGCTGATTCTCAGGTTTTAGCATAGAAATCCTACAATTTTTAGATCTAAAGTTCTAGCTTTGAAAAAGTTTTTGGTTAGAAAAAACAACTATGATAGTTCTGAATCTTTCAGTTGTGTCAATTTTGATCGAAGCTTGCGACCAGAGGCAGGCAAGGCTCTGCTTACTGTCAGATCCCTTCAGGTTATTATTATGCTAACTCCGAATAATAATATACAGAGTGTTCAAAAAAAAGTTAGTTCCCCTTAATTTTCCAAAAAATCTCTGGTGGCTCCTCGTGGTCGTTGTGAATATTTTGTGCTGACTTTTTCCTGTTTTTATGCATGACCTTCTGCATGAAATTTCTGAGCTTTTCTGTGTTCCTCTCGGTTAATGCGTTTCCCGAAACGCGCACTCAAAATTCTTTGAAAAACATTAAAAAATCTTTTGAATATTAGAAATTTGTATAATGTTATTTTCTAATGCTATTTAATGATTGGTTCCCATGGTTCAAGCATCCAATGGTTCAACGAGTCCTGTATACCCCACTTAAACTCGTCTTGTCAATCATCAAATAACATTATACAAATTTCTAATAATCAAAAGGTTTTCAATGTTTTTCAAGAAAAGCACTTTTACTGCCAGCGGATCAAAGAGATCAAAGAGTTCCGAACCAAGATCAAAGAGTTCCGAGGAGCAGGCACGCTAACCACTAGGCTACGAGCTGACTTTTGGGATGGCAAAAGGAAAGCCTTTCCGCCGGCAAAAATCAGTGTGCCAGAAATTCGAGAAAAGCCTTCATTTTTTCGAAATTCAAATGGCTGCAACTTTGTGCCTTTTGCCGATTAGCGGTTTTTGAAAACAGTTTCTGAACGTACATTTTCAGGCCTTTCTTTTTGCACCTACCTCATATTGTAACTCGCGGGGAACTTGGGAAGGTTCCCTGGTTAGTTTATTCTTTATTCATTATATATTAACTCTAATATTAATATGACACTACGATGCTAGTAGAAAGTTATAATTTTATGAGAAAAGTCTCATGGTGGTAGCCCATATGGTGGTGCTGACCATGCTGGCTCAGAAATTTCATGCATAGGGAGTCATAAAATGGGGGAAAAGTGAAAAAATATCAAAAATTTTCCAGCCTAAAATATTCATTTTGGCACCATAACAGCCAATAGGAGCCACCCGAAGCTTTTTGGAAAATTAAGGGGAACTGGTTTTTTTTGAACACCATGTAATGTTTATATTAGGTTACCGATTTTCTACAGCCACTACCTGATCGACCTAGCGTATCCCCAGACGGAGACGAGCTCATTCAGCCGGCTGGATATACAAATGCTAATGCCCAGCTCACGATCAAAGTTCTACCAAATCCTCTTCAATCCAAAATACTCGAGCTAGAATGGGAAATCGATAACGAGATTTTTCCGTTCCACTTGGTCGACGAAAAAGTAGCTGAGCTAAAGAGAAACCCACCTAAAAATGGCGAAAACACTCCGCAATCCCTTAAAAGGTCCATGACGATGGGTTACCTATTAACAGTGCAGAGAATCGGCAGACATATCTGCGAGATTCAATACTGCACCCCAAATTTTGTCAACTATTACAACTATGTCCAAATCGAAAAACTGTTGCAACTTATCGAAACCGATCAAACAAGTATGTCCATGAAGAAACTTCACTTCAACGTGCTCTTCTCCGCATCAAAAACGGTGGACGAATTTTTCTTGATCAAAGCCGATCCGGTAACGCCGACATTGCTGAAAAGTGACTTCACACAGCCAATTCGAAAAGGTCAATTGATAACAGAAGGAAACGAACGGTTTTGTTTGTTGGGAGAAGAGGAACTATATCTAAGTGATGAAAATAAAATGTTAGAGACTGGAAAGATTCTGGAATTGCTGGAGAAAGTCAGAAGTGGAATAAAAGTCCAAACGCAACTTCAGCTTAAAAAGCTCATCCATGCCGATGAATCAGAGCAAAGAAGTGAAGAGGTCGGAATTGATGCTGGAGGTAAATATTTGTTCCAATTAAGAAATCCACCTAGACAACGATGTGCTCATCAACCAGTTTGCCCAAAGAAAACGCTAGCTTTTGAAAATGCGGCGGCATTGTTTCTTTTATCGAACCAGGATGCGATTCAGAGCCAATATATGGGAATCAAAAGGATTACCGTACCCGAAGAATTACTGATCACCTATTATTCGTGTTCGGAAGAATCCGATCCCAACTATACGGGCAGCAAATCTTTGGAGCTATTGAGAAAATGGACCAGCTTTTGTGGTCACTTACAACGCCATTATGTTACGCCGAACACAAATGGATTTGATCATTGTGTTGCTGAACTAGAACTCATTAAAGTGCCAAAAACTGAGGACTCAAAAGATTATTTGATTTTACTCGATCATCCAACCAACTATGGGGATCGTGAAAAAATTTGGTGTTTGAACGAGCTGGGAGAACTAATAGAGCACCCGGTTTTGGAAGTAAAGAAATGGCTGGTAAAGCGTGAACTTAATGAAGCGACAAAAGAATGACAATATTTTTTTGTAAAAAAGTTTATCTTTTATGTTTTTGAACTACCTCTGTTCATGCGGAAACTTTTGTTGATCTATTTTACCATCTCAAAGAATTAAAATCGACGTTGGCTTCTTATTTTTTTACCTTTAGTGTAGAGACTTTTATTTCGATAGTTTTGTGCCTTGCTCAAATAGACGATTAATGAGCTTTCTCTATTGATTATTCATATCTAAACGATACATACGGTCGCATCCGTTTCCTTCCTATTTGCGTTCCTATTTTGCAATTATTCGCGTCGCATTTTTTTCGTCTTTTTTCTCTCTTCCTGAAATTCTTTTTTTTTTCGGGTGGAGGGTTTTTGCCTTTGTTCTTGGGGGACTTTGATATTTCTATTCATGCGCATGCTGTTTTTGTAATGGGTATCGTTGCATTTTTGGTTCTGTATTAATAAACAGTAAAATTATAAATTCAATTTACTTTATGCTACCCTTCAGGCTTTAAATCCTGTTTAGATAGCTGGTTTAACATTGTAGAAAGAACTTACTAACATTTGTGTCGCCATCGACGAAGTATCAATCCGTTCTGTACTCTTATCACGAATATTAACCTTATGTTGGATGCTGCGTGTTCTTGTTATGCGTTTTGGGGAAACCCTTTTAACCTTTTTGTGCTATTCTGAAGCAAAATCATCCCCGATGATAAGGTTAAAGCGGGTCGCACAAATTATACATACAACTCTGTTTAGTCTTTCAGTCTAGTTTCAGAGATCAGAGGCTGTGTACTCAGAATTCTGAACGATTCCGAGTATGCTTTGATTGAATTGAAAATAGAAATTCTCTTGGGAGTTCAAAAAATGTCCAAAATTTTCTGTTATTCGAACAAAACACTTAGAAATCAAGCAAAACCCAACTTTAAAGATTAAGAAGGCATACTTTTTCATTTTAGACGTATTATGATAGGTTGAACTGGTAAGCAAAAATCTTCTACGAAATTTACTATACCTTTGCTGGACAATTAGTAGATCTTCAGACGTGTTTTCACTTCTAAGAAAGTAATTGTTGAGAAACAGAGTACGAGAGAGTCCAGAAAGAAAGAAAACTGAAGATTTGTTAGAAGAAGATCAATTTTAGTTCTATCTATTTGAATCTATGGTTATTCTATCAAGTTTCTTGTAAAAAAAGCAATAAGTGCCAGCTATAAATACAGCTTTTTCATTATTTTAGGCAAAGTTTCATTTTATTAGTTTGAACCGAATGAAAGCGCCGCAAAATCCTTTGTCATTAAATGCTTAATCATTAAATTAAATGATTGCTAACTTTGATTGTTGATTGCTATCAATATATTTCCATGTTATGTAAAACCTGTTTTCTTTCTTGTTTTCTTCGTTCTTCATTTGTCTTCCTACCCTTTTAATTTTAACTTTTTAGGATGAACAATGTAAAGTATCGAATTCGAGTTTGTATGCTGTAGGAAAAAGGAAAAGCAAGGAAAAAGGGCACCCGATTGTCATACTTTGATAGTCAAACACCTCAGTTTCTCGAGATTTGAAGGATAAGTGGAGAAAAATCATGGCGAACATTGGAACATCTTTTGGAATGATTCTCCTTTTTCGCAGTATTTTAGCAATAAAGTTGTTATGAAAAGAACGGGGATTTCACTCAATTCAATCTAATAGACCAGAAAAACATGGTTTCGAAGAAGATACGGTGATCACTATAAGCAAAAATCTCTTAGGAATTTCCTCTTTTAACTCTTTACTCAATAAGTTTAACATTTTTATTGAAAATGATTACAAGCTGATACGGTAGTTATCAAGAGAATATTTAAAATACAATTGTTTGAGATAAAACTTTCCTTAGAACATTGGTCTTTTTAAATTTTTTTCTTTCGATTCCTTGAAACGAATGTTTTTCTGACATCGAATCTCAAGGGATTTAATTACAATTTTATAACCAAAAAGAAAAATTTGATGGGCCAGACAATAACGAAATAGATTCTCCAGGTTCCTCAAGTAATTAAACTTCCGAATAAACTTTAGTCCATTTCCCATTCCCTCGTCGTCACCAGACTGTTGACCAATACATTATCACTTCGAAACTGATATTTCAAAGTTTATAACAAAACTAATTTCCTCTGTATTACGAATTATTAGTGTGCTTTTCCTTGAATTTACTAGATGTGACTAGACCTGTGCGTTTTTACTCGAATGAATAACAATACCATAACAAAACCATACTCGAATAAATAACAAAACCAAGTTTATTCAATACATGTGGAACAAAGCTTGCGAAAAATGTTACAACAAAGCTCAAAGAAAACAATGCTTTGCCCCAGAGATAAATGTAATTAATTCAATAAAAATTATGGAAGTATTTCAAACAAAAAAACCAACTTTCACAGGACCAAATGCGAGAAAATTCTGGCTAAATGGAGAAGAAGGTGTCCTTTTATACGCTTGTGAAAAAAAAGCCAACTTCTTACAAGACAAATGAGAGAAAATTGGGAAATGAGGTGTCCTTTTGAGCTTGTGAGCGCGACATTGTTTAGGGTGCGGTATTTCTAGTGTCTTATTAGACTTTTTGGCTTTTTCTGACTCGTCATCACAGTTTAATTCCGATTTTAAACCATAGATTATTTTTTCTAATCTTTAATCTTTTAATTATTTCTTTGAGTTTCAGAAAAACGGATTTTCAGAGCTACTTCCTATTTTTGTGCTGTGACCAATGGAACAATTGAGAATCCACGATATCGGAACAAATATCATTACGGTGGCTGGGATTTTATCGAATTTGTTATTGTTATCTTTGATCATCACCGATCATACGGCTACAACAAAAGAGTACAAGAAAATGTTGATCATAATCGCAATTCACAATATCTACTTCTCGATTGTACACGAGATTGTCCAGCCGGTGAGTTTTGCTTTTGAATTGAGAAACATTTTGAAATGATTCAACAAACAATAAAAGAGTGCAAGATTCACAATATAATGATAGCCGATCGCACAATTTGAATTTTTTTTCTTAAACTTGAAAGTTTAGATGTACTTGGCAGACAAATGGGGTTTTTTTATTATCTCAAAAAATGCGGCTCCTTCTAGAAGATATTGGGTGAATTTTGCGGCCATTTCCTTGTTCACCAATTCATTTGCCCAATCGTTAAGTCTTCTCGGCGTTCATTGCCTTTATCGATTTTCAATGATCACTGGGTGTGTTTAAATTTTAAGTTTAAATGCAGAATTTCAATCTTGGCCACCCCCTGAAGATGTTTGATTGATTAAAGTGCCATTTTCGATTCGCAGAAAGCTTTTCAAGGAGAATTTGTTAAGATTTAATAAAATTCTTCTTTAGTTTTGACTCTAGATGACACTTTTCAGCAAATTCAAGCATCTCTTCGACACCTATTGGGGCATTCTTTGTGTCCTTGCCTTTCACCTTTGCATCTCCAATTGTTATCTATTTTGCTGTATCATTGGAATGTCGGTAGGCTTACTTTGAACTACAGGGTGCATCATAGTTACTCATAATCACTCTGGAGGGTGTAGCTCAGTTAAAACATAACCGATTCAAACAAATATTTTACAGGTAAATTTTGAGTGGGTCTCCTGTAGCGGTGCTCATTATCTAACCGATAGGAGCTCACAAATTTTTTTTAAACAAGCTTTCAAAGTCGGGAGTCACACTTAGCCTGGCATGTGCCTAGTTTTGGGGTTTTTAAAGTGACATTGAAAGCCGATTGGGAAACATGCGAACCAAATTTATCAGAAAGATATCTTTCAACCAGTCATCGTTTACGGGAAAAATCTCTGGTTACAGACTGGTTAGGATTATGAGTAATTATGATGCATTCTGTATATTGTTTTGATAAAGGTCAAATCACTTTAATTTCTTAGCCAACACCGGAAAGAAATGTTCTTTCTGCCGGAGACGTGGAGAAATATTTCAATCTCACATTGGATGATCAGCTCTACTATTGTGGGGCAGCATTTATGGTAAATTGAGCTTTCATTTTTTAAAGTCTTAACAAAAGAAATGAAATTTCTAGTACCCTGATGAAGACGGTACTATGAAATATGGGTGGAAAGCAATTTTGACCTGTGCTTCTTGCTTTCTATTTTGTGGAGCTATCTATGCGTTAATTTGTGGAACCGGGATCAAATTGTAAATTCAGGAAAACAACTAGTTGTCTAGTTGTCTAAATGTCTAAATCAATAACTGGTTTTCTTTAGATATTTCTACGTAAAGGGAGCTTTGATGCCGGAAAATATGAAACGAAAACAGCTACAGCTATTTTATGTCCTATTTGCTCAGGTAACCAAAACTGAGGCTCCTTTTTTTTAAAATAAAAGGAAACTACTTATAATTACTTTCTAATTGCTGCGAAATGTTAAAGTATATTTAGGCGTTCTCCCCATTGATCTGCGAGTTTTTGCCAGTTGCGGTGATGACTACTGGATGGATCTTCAGTGAGTAGAATCAGGAAGAAGTTTTATAATGTCTGTTGTAGATTATAAGTCTCGTCCAGAAGATTTCTACGTCTCGCTATTCGTTTCCAGTTATTCTCCGTTAGATGCCCTGTTGACGTTGTTTCTCTTCAAGGTAAAGGGACGATTTTTCTTCGTCCTTCTTCAAATTGTTTAACTAAAGTTCACGTTTTAAGAGAACTTAGTTCTTGGTTCAATTTCATTTCAATAACCGTTTTTCAGGCGTATCGTATGCGAATTCTCGAGATCCTATGCTTGAAAGGGCGCTGTGGGAAGATTATCCGAATCCAAACATCCGACTATTTGACCTCAAATCAACCGACAAGTCAATAGGAAAGAGAAAATCAGAACGAGGAAAAAAAACGGAAACCCACTGAATTGAAACTTGAATTTTTAGTTTTTCTTTTAAAAAATGCTTTTTACTTCATTTCTAAGGGTTTCTAAAAGCAATTCTTATAATTAATTGTTCATGTTTTCAGGTTTCTTTTAAGTTTTTCTAAAATTCCACCCCTAGGCACCATTTCCAATTAAATCTTAAAATCACCTGCGTTTTTCGTTGGCTCTCTGAAAAATTGGTTCTTCAGAGTGAACAGTTTTTTTGATCGATAACCATGACTTTTTATAAATGACGAGAGATCTTATGATTTATGAAACATCATTCTTATTCTTATCGTTGTTTCTTGTTGTTGTAACCCTGCTAAATGTTTTTACTTTATGGGTGATTGTTAATGGATTGCCCGAATCAGCTAAAACCTATCGATGGCATTTGGCCTGGTATCAGGTGGATTGGTCAAAATTTGTTTCTGAAATAAGCGATTTCCCAAAAGAATTATATCCTTATTGCGACACTCGAACCAATTGACAATAATCGTGCGTACTCTCAGCCATTGATGAAGCCTCCCAGCCATGTATCTGATTGTTCTAAAGAAGCCTTTTAAGCTTCCCCATTACTTTTTAATGTTAAATCATATTTATCAGAGAAACACTCCAGAATCTCTACAACTGTTCCTCCTTAAAATTCCCTTTTGTGTTGAAATTTACGAATAAAGAGTTGCTTAAAAAATGTACACGGTGGCGCACAATTACCCGCACTCAGTTCAGATTTTCCAGCACAACGAAGCGTCAATCAATCATTCCTTATTATAAAATTGAATATTTCTTCTGCACTGTTTCTACTAAACTTGCCCAGAAAAGTTTCTAAAGTTTTGCTAGAGCGCTGCAAAGTTGTGACATCCGTTTTCTACGGCGGAATCGGGATTTTCTGGTTTTTGTAACTAGTTTCAAGGCCTCAGAATCAAAACAAAACCCAGCTTATTTCCTTTTTACTCATTATTTTCAAAATCTAACTCATTTTTACTAGAAAACAATGAATTTCGGTTAGGGACCAAAGTTCAAAATGTGAATTAAAACTGTGTGCGGGTAATTGTGCGCCACTCTGTATTTATATGTGAGTTAATCGAAACTTCTCTGGCTCCCTATGTTGAAGTCTGTAGCATAAAATCAAAAAAAAAGAGCGTTTATTTTTTTGGAGTTACATGTACACGGAAAGTATAGCACAGAACCATTTTTGTGGACGACAGAAATTGATTTTTCTCTCTCATAGCCAGACTACCTAAAACTATTTTTTCGCTATTTCTTTTACTTTAAAACTTCGTAAGTTTAATCGTCAAACTATTAGATTGGCAACAATGAAATGTCGGTTTTTGGTGATAAATTATTTATTAGAAAGCCCGAAAGAAAAGGTTTCAATCCAAAAGGTATTCGCCATTATCATTGATAATTTGTTCCCATCTTCGACGCAAATCACGGATACCGTTGTTGTTCTGACTTCTATTAAATAGGAACATTACATTGCGCTAAACCCATTCAATGGTTGAAATTTAATGGTTGAATCGGATTAAGAGAAAAGTTTGTGGAATTCCCGAAATAGGTATTGTCTATTGAGACAATTTTATGGATTTACGAGCTTTTGAAATGTCACTAATAAAATGTAGATGTCAAAGAGTTTTCAGTAGACCGTTAAAGCAATTAGATGCTCAAAGTTATTAGTGAAAACTGTACTCGGTTGGGTAGAACAGAAGGTTGAACTTACGATAACTTCTAGAAGTAATCTCGTTCCTGAATTCTTGGGACACTTCGAGATATGAGCACAAGTATTATCCTCTAATCGACCAAAATTCTCTGGGCAGAAGCGGCCTTTTTGTGGAGAAGTGGGACAACCGAACTGGAAATTTGATGAAACTTTTCAAACTTTTGATTTTTTGATGCATTACTTTTGATGTATTACACGCCTCTCATCGCTGGATCTTTGGGCATTCTTGCCATACAACTGTCACATCCACAACTCCCATTGGAAGACCTCATGCTTGAGACATTCGTCGGCTAAATGGGTATGATGATTGGTTTGGAAACGGGTAAAGCTTTCATTATCGTCAGTTTAACACTCATAGTATAAAATCATGCTATCTTTTGTATGGGGCAGTTTTAATCTGTAAAAAGTTAGAGTATAGAGGTTTGCAAATGGTTCTAATTGCGATTTAAAAATTCATAGATTTTCTTGGAAAAAAGTGAAAACAGGAAGTGGATGGGTTTTTGTCCCAGTTTTTCAAGGGGACTTTCAAAAATTAAGTAATACTCATAATTGTTCGTCTGCACGGAAATCTTTAGTAAAAGGCGAAAGATTTTCTCGGTCAAATGCAGACGAACCAGAGATGAAAATAAGTGGGAAAGGGATCGGTATACCTGGAGACCCTTTGCCAGAAAGCGAGCGACTACGCGCCCGCACAAAGAACACTGGTTCATTAAGAGTCTAATCTTCTGCTACTTCAAATCTTTGGATCTGATTTCTAAGTAATCTTACGTCTTCATAACACCATGGCACAGAATAAAAGAATAGTGAAAGTGATGAGTTTGAAGTTAGGTATAGAGGTTTGCAAATGGTTCAATTCAATTCTTGGACAAAAACCACGGGAACAAGCTTTTTGGATGAACTTTTGTCCCGTCATTGAATAGAATTAACGAAACCGTTTGTTTCACACAGATTTTCAACTTTAAATCAGAAACAAGCTGTTTAAGTGCTTTTTGTCCCGCTTTTTCAAGGAGACCTCCAAAAATTGAAATATACTCATAATTGTTCGTCTGCACGGAAATCTTTAGTAAAAGGCGAAAGATTTTCTCGGTCGATTTTCTTTATGCGCGCCCGTAATCGCTCTCTTTCTGGCATACTCTTTTTCATTATAGCCCTTCCTTCCACTCAAACAAATCAATTTCAATTAGAAATGTACAAGCTTAATTCAAGTTTATTGTAGAAAATATCTAACACGACTTCTCAACAAAGCACAAGCGAGTAGTCAAAACTTTCAAAAAAGCTTTTGTGCGCCCTGAAAACAGGTTCTGATACTAATAGTCTTCCTAAACTTAGTACATTAAAGCGTTTTGAATCTTTTTCAAAATATGGAAAAATAAATAACTTTCATAAAAAATAAATGCTTTCCGATTTTTTTGTTTAGCTGCCCATCACGGCTTGATAAATCCTCTTCCACGGGAGAGACGGAAAGCATAGATAAAGAACAAGCGTACGAGGCAGGCGTCTTTTACGATTTTCTTTTGCTTTTAGTTTTTGAATCTTTCTAGCTCGATTTAAGTCAAGCTTCTAAAGTGCTGTTTTGCTTTAAAGGTCTTAATTATCCTTTTTCATCATTTCAGTTTTGATAAAGATCTTTTAAAGCATTCAAAGCAACTTTGACACCACTTTTTCCTTAAATTAGTTTTTTTAGATGGCCAGAAATGGAGTTGATATTGGAAAGGGCAGCTATGGATCGGTTCGTTTGCAAGATTGCGGGTGAGGCAATGCATTGTTTCAAACTTTGCTTTTGCTTACAGAAAAATTGTGATCAAATATCCGTTGTCTCCCGATGAGCGAACGAAAGCATTATTCAAAAGGGAATGCCAAATCCTCGAGCCGCTGGATCACCCGAACATTGTCAAGTATCTTGGAATTCAAGATAAAGATCAGAAAGGGGAAGAGAAATTCGGCATTGCGATGGAGTATTGTGAACGAGGAGATTTGGAAGAAGGTTTCCTCCTTTTTGGTTTATTTATTGTTTTTAGTAATCTTTGATCCGAAGATGACCTATTCGATGAAATGGATTCTTAGTGGGGCAATTCAGTTATTCGATGCTCTGACCTATCTATCGGAGAGGAAACTAACCCATCGTGATATCAAGCCAAGCAAGTAAATCCTTCTTTTGAAAAATTTATCAAAATATAATAGAAAGTTGCTAGATTTAAAAAGTAAATGTTTCTTCCCTGAATCGGGAAAAATGTCTTGATTTTTTGTATGAAAGTTGACGGTGTTAGAAAGTGATAAGATTGCCGCTTAACAATAGAAAATTATAGTACTTTTAGATCTGTTTCATTTGTAATCAATCAGAGTATAAAAAACAACCACCGTGGATCCCCCAAAAACAAACCAGTCTGATAGTAAACACCGATTTTAGAATCCCAAAGGTTTAAGTATCATTTTAGACCTCCATAACAAACGGTTTACCAGGCTCCCTTTAAGAATTTACTAGCGATCTTGCATTGTATTTGTTGTATATATGGCATATTTTGGCCTATTTGTAGCATTTTTCTCAAAGAAGACTTCTCGCTGAAACTTGGCGACTTCGGCTGTGTAACGCTTGTTGCCGATCGAACAGCATCAGGAACATTTAATCGCGGAACATTGCGTTATATGAGCCCACCACAATATGATATTGCAAAAGAGAACCCGAACGATGATCAAAGAATGGTTAGTTTTAAAAAACTCGTTTCAAACTTAGACTTTTAGATTTCACCCAAAAACGATATCTACAGTCTCGGTTTAACGTTATGGGAAATGGTTTTAAGAGAGTAGTTTTTTCCGTTTATTACAAGCGAATTTGTTTATTTAGAAAACCATTTGCCGAGTATATTAGGAAATTTCATCGAGGAGAGGACTTTGATCGAGAGAAATTTAACGCTGATATACAAGCAAAAAGGTTGACCAGAATCAGAGGAACACAATGTTGGCCGGAGTTCGAGGAGCTGATTCTCAGGTTTTAGCATAGAAATTCTACAATTTTTAGATCTAAAGTTCTAGCTTTGAAAAAGTTTTTGGCTAGAAAAAACAACTATGATAGTTCTGAATCTTTCAGTTGTGTCAATTTTGATCGAAGGTTGCGACCAGAGGCAGGCGAGGCCCTGCTTACTGTCAGAGCCCTTCAGGTTATTATTATGCTAACTCCGAATAATAAGATACAGAGTGTTCAAAAAAAAGTTAGTTCCCCTTCATTTTCCTAAAAATCTCTGGTGGCTCCTCGTGGTCGTTGTGGTGCCAAAGTGAAGATTTTGTGCTGGAAAATTTTTGATAATTTTTTACTTTTTCCCATTTTTATGATCACTTTATGCATGAAATTCCTGAGCTAGAGTGTGTTCCTCTCGGTTAATGCGTTTCCCGAAACGCGCACTCAAAAAAGTCACCGTAGACGCGACGTAAATTTTACGCAAATTTTCCTTCGAATATTCTTTGTTCACATTTATGGGGGTGGCTACTTTGCGCCAAATCTTGCCTTAAACGTCCGAGTTCGATTTCTATTGGCTTTTCTTTTTGAAATTTCATGCATAGGGAAATGGGGAAAAAATGAAAAATATCAAAAATCTTCCAGCCCAAAATATTCACTTTGGCACCATAACAGCCAACAGGAGCCACCATGCCTTTTGGAAAATTAAGGGAAACTGGCTTTTTTTTTTTATCACCCTGTAATGTTTATATTAGGTTACCGATTTTCTACAACCACTACCTGATCGACCTATCGTATCCCCAGACGGAAACGAGCTCACTCAGCCGGCTGGATTTACAAATAATACTGCCCAGCTCACGATCAAAGTTCGACCAAATGCTCTTCAATCCAAAGTACCCGAGCTAGAATGGGAAATCGATAACGAGATTTTTCCGTTCCACTTGGTCGATGAAAAAGTAGCTGAGCTAGAGAGAAACCCACCTAAAAGTGGCGAAAACACGCCGCAATCCATTAAAAGGTGCATGACGATTAGTTACCTATCAACAGTGCAGAAAATCGGCAGACATATCTGCGAGATTCAATACTGCACCCCAAATTTTGTCAACTATTACAACTATGTCCAAATCGAAAAACTGTTTCGACTTATCGAAACCGATCAAACAAGTATGTCCATGAAGAAACTTCACTTCAACGTGCTCTTCTCCGCATCAAAAACGGTGGACGAATTTTTCTTGATCAAAGCCGATCCGGTAACGCCGACATTGCTGAAAAGTGACTTCACACAGCCAATTCGAAAAGGTCAATTGATAACAGAAGGAAACGAACGGTTTTGTTTGTTGGGAGAAGAGGAACTATATCTAAGTGATGAAAATAAAATGTTAGAGACTGGAAAGATTCTGGAATTGCTGGAGAAAGTCAGAAGTGGAATAAAAGTCCAAACGCAACTTCAGCTTAAAAAGCTCATCCATGCCGATGAATCAGAGCAAAGAAGTGAAGAGGTCGGAATTGATGCTGGAGGCCAATATTTGTTCCAATTAAGAAATCCACCTAGACAACGATGTGCTCATCAACCAGTTTGCCCAAAGAAAACACTAGCTTTTGAAAATGCGGCGGCATTGTTTCTTTTATCGAACCAGGATGCGATTCAGAGCCAATATATGGGAATCAAAAGGATTACCGTACCCGAAGAATTACTGATCACCTATTATTCTTGTTCGGAAGAATCCGATCCCAACTATACGGGCAGCAAATCTTTGGAGCTATTGAGAAAATGGACCAGTTTTTGTGGTCACTTACAACGCCATTATGTTACGCCGAACACAAATGGATTTGATCATTGTGTTGCTGAACTAGAACTCATCAAAGTGCCAAAAACTGAGGGCTCAAAAGATTATTTGATTTTACTCGATCATCCAACCAACTATGGGGATCGTGAAAAAATTTGGTGTTTGAACGAGCTGGGAGAACTCATAGAGCACCCGGTTTTGGAAGTAAAGAAATGGTTGGTAAAGCGTGGACTTAATAAAGCGACCAAGGAATGACAATATTTTTATGTAAAAAAGTTTATCTTTTATGTTTTTGAACTACCTCTGTTCATGCGGAAACTTTTGTTGATCTATTTTACCATCTCAAAGAATTAAAATCGACGTTGGCTTCTTATTTTTTATCTTTTTTCTCCTATTACACTGGATAAACTATTTTATTAAAACTTTAATCTTTACGAAACAAAGCTGAAATTCCTCAGCCAAAAAAAATAGTGTAGAGACTTTTATTTCGATAGTTTTGTGCCTTGCTCAAATAGACTGTTGATGAGATTTCTCTATTGATTATTCATATCTAAATGATACATACATACAACTCTTACTTGAAACATACAATCAAATGTATTTATTCAAAGTGATGTGCTCCTTTTTAGATGAGATCCTTAGTATAAAATTGGCAAAAAAAACTTTCTGAAACAATTCATCAAGATGTTGAGGCTTTTGTTCGCTTTTACCATACTTCTGGCTCTAACTGTGGCCGAGCCTGTGATTCAGCCTGTGGTTCTGTAAACGAGCAAGCGAGAACTGCGAAAGTAAGAATACTTTATTTTCGATATTGATAAAACTGAAAAACTCGAATTTAAAGGCTTCGTTTTAATCAAAAATGTCTGGATCAGCACACATGACGTACCAAAATGATCCTTGAACTCTTCTCAAATATTCAATCAGAAATTCTTGACGAAAATTTGTTTGAGTGAACTAAAATCCGGTCAGAAGACATTCAAATCGATTCCTTATCCCAAAAGTGAGACTTTGAAAACGTCTCTGTCGCGATAGATTGTTGTTCCAGACGCTTTTTATGATTAAAAAAGAGGAATTGCTCAAGATAATGGTAGATTACATTCAGACTTTTGTAAGGAATCTGGAATCGAATCGGAACAGTTCAGATTGATGCCCTCGTCAAAGCAATGCCAAAGCGAATGAATATGCTTATCAAAAATGGCGGAAAATCTCTTAAAGAGTAACGTTATCTTTTTTGCAGGTTTTTTTTGTTGGAGTTTATTAGTTAAAATTATAAAATAAACCTGTTAAATCAAGGTGGATCTATCATTTTTTTACGCGGGAGAAATGTCGAAAATCATATAAACATTTTTAAATGATTTTTTTATCTTCCCGATTAAATAAAATTTTGATGCAAATTGAACTAAAACTAAATTTTGAACTTGTTTTTGGTTAAAAGTTGAATTTTTATTCAAAATTCCTAGTTTTTGGGCCAAAAATCATGGTGGACCGATTATTTTGTTACGCACTGTATATATGATTTCGTATACGAGTTGAAAGTCGTAGTCAATCCTCTCAATGCTCTCAATGCTACATCAATGGAAAAGCTCATCGTTGGCTAAAATGCTGTTCGGATCTTGCTGATCTTGATCTGGTGCTGTTCGGATCTTTGAATGAAATTCTAAAAGCTCAAAAGTTATTTTTTGTTTCACAGTGAAGCCTAGATTCAACTCAATAGTAAACTTGGTTTTTCGGATTGAAACAGGTCAAATTATAGCATTATTGAACCTCTACCATAAGCAGCATCAAAATGGAACTTGTTTTTTGGGGTCACTTCAATTGTTTACTAGTGAGATTTCACTGTAAACAGTTTGAAAAACTTAAAAAAACACTGAAAACCTATTCCCTAAGCACTTACACTCAGATATTTTGTTTTATTTTTAAATGTTTGTTTGTTTTGTTTAGTCTTTATCATTAAATGTTGATTGCTGACTATCTTATCAATATATTTTTATGTTATGTAAAACCCGTTTTCTTTCTCGTTTTCTTTGTTCTTTATTTGTCTTCCCACCCTTTTAATTTGAACTTTCTAGGATGAACAATGTAAAGTATCGAATTCGTATGCTGTATGACTTGAAGCAAGGAAAAAAGGCGCCCGATTGTCATAGAGTCATTGCAAGTGTATTTGGTCAGTCACCAATCTCCGAAAGACAATTGTGGAGCTTGTTTCCAAACGATTTCATGAAGGAAATGAGGATCTCAAGGCCCCAATACTTTGATAGTCAAACACCTCAGTTTCTCGGAATTTGAAGGAAAAGTGGAGAAAGACCATGGCGAACATTGGAACATCTTTTGGAATGATTCTTGTTTTTCGCAGTATTTTAGCAATAAAGTTGTTATGAAGAAAACGGCGATTTCATCAGTTCAACCTAATAGATCAGAAAAACATGGTTTCGAAGGAGAGACGGTGATCACTATAAGCAAAAATCTCTTACAAAGTTCCTCTTTTAACTCTTTACTCAATAAGTTTAACATCTTTATTGAAAATGATTACAAGCTGATACGGTAGTTATCAAGAGAATATTTAAAATACAATTGTTGATTTTTGAGATAAAACTTTCCCTGAGAACATTGGTCTTTTAAAATTTTTTTCTTTTGATTCTGTGAAACGAATGTTTTTCTAACGTCGAATCTCAAGGGATTTAATTACAATAATTACAATTAATTATAGTCTTAAAAAGAACAATTTTGATAGGTCACTCAATAACCAAATAGATCATCCAGGTTACTCAAGTCATTAAACTTCTGAATAAGCTTTAGTCCATTTCCCATTTCCTCATCGTCACCCGACTGTTGACCAATACTTTATCACTTCGAAACTGATATTTCAAAGTTTATATCAAAACTAATTTCCCCTGTATTACGAATTATTAGTGTGCTTTTCCTTGAGTTTACTAGATGTGACTAGACCCGTGCGTTTTTACTCGAATGAATAACAAAACCATAACAAAGCCATACTGGAATGAATAACAAAACCAAGTTTATCCAATACACGTGGAGCCAAGCGTGTGAAAAATGTTTCAACAAAGCTCAAAGAAAACAATGCTTTGCCACAGAGATAAAAGTAATTAATTCAATAAAAATTCTGGAAGTATCTC